TGAGGTAACACGCACAATACCAGAACCCTGGAACTAGCTCACTAATTGAAATAGAGTTGTTTTTAATGTTATTATCAATTACACCTGCATTTTTCCTGCTATGACATGCTTCACCACCCATCTTCAACCTGAGCACAGGTCTAATCGTCCAGAATGACTGAAAAACACCTGTGTGCGCGTAATGTTAAAAGAGTTGTCAATGTCGGTAATCAATGCTTGTGATCCAGTAATAAAATATAATGGGTTTCTTACTTTCTAAAAAGTCTGCAGTTAGAAGTGTTAGCAAGTCAATATATTAATTAAGGGTTCTATAGAAGTGAGTATTACGTTTTCAAGTCGGCAGTTGTGAATGTTAATGTTGGGAAAACTTAAAGAATGTTCTGTTTAGTCACTGAAACATAGGCAGCTGCTTCCATAAAGTGTGTGACCTCGTGTTGAACCTTTTCACTAATAGCTATCTCGGCTGTTTTTCTCTAGCATCTTCTAGTGACCTTTCGTCAAGGGAGATAGTAAATTTGTTGTGCACGACAGTATTTATGTATGCTGATTTGAGACCGTAACGTCTTCCGATATTAGGATAAGATGACCTTTGACAGAACAAATTGTCAAAGGAACGGGTCCAAATGAGGTCCAGACTTTATCTAAATCATTCTGCTTCGACGCCTTTGTATGTGTTATCTGCAGTATATATTCCAGAGACTCAGAGACAGACCTCTGAGCAGCAACTTGACGCATAACCTGTATGTGTTTCAACTCTGTTCCTTCTTGCAAGAATAAATGTCCTGTTTAATGATTTTACACCCGGTGTCGAGTAATATTTTTCTAACAGTTAATAAATTGTTGAAAATGGATTTTGGTCCAGAAGCTCTGCAGTGCTTTTCCAGGTGAAAATGATGGTTCCTTATGGTGAAATTCTTATTAATGACTGACTATTGATAACTAATCTATAAACCATTAGTAACCTATGTAGACCTATTGTTAAGCATTAATAAAGCCATGAGTTACAATTCATACATTTGTATAAATTATAGGTAGTGCACAAAAAACTGTCTGTGGATGTAAAATGTATACCGCAGCAGAAATGGTTAGAAATATTGATGCAGAAAAACAACATGCATACAATACAAATACCATGGAGATGATACAAGTCAAACTGATGACTTGGATAATAAGAGGTTGGTGACTTTGTGTTTGTTTGTGATGTGAGCTGTCTGTCTGATCGCGTGGACATACTCGTGCACCGTGTTCATTCATGTACAATAAATTCAATCCGTGAACGCGTCTTTCTTATTCTGGGAGAATTACGTCATCGCACAGCCGAGGCTGCTGCAGGAATTTGCGGTCAAAAATCCCACCGCAGGCTGCTTCTCAGGGCATTGTTGTATGCAGGAAGGACACACGCTGAGCACAGACTATAGATTCACTCTCAGAGCTATTAGGCTACCATTTCAAAATGAAGTAATCTGTAATCTCATTTTGGAGACACAAAATATAGAAATAGTGCAATAAGTATTTAACTTGCTTATTCCTACTTAGTGTTGCAAATGCTATTACAAGCCCCTATATTATTAAATTATGATGGCTATGACAATGAGGCAAAAGCCATAAAAATGCGAAAGAATGTTAACACCGTTGCATCACTGAAAAGTCCCACCAAAAAAGATCCTGCAGGAGTATTAGGGCTTTGCTTAATAGTAAGTATTGGTAAAAAATGTGGGTTATTTTAATGAAGCAAACGGGTTGAGAATAAAGTAACAAATACATTTGTAAGAAAAAAAAGAGAGAGAAAAGCTTCAGGAGGCTTTGCTTTTGCAGTCCGTTATGTGTGGGGGCGGACACTTTAGGCGCGCACAGCACAGCGCGCGTAGCAGTGCGCGTCGGCAAATAACCTCATTCTGCATACTGACTGTTATTTAGAAGGTCTTCTATTCTACCGTAGGTCTGAATTCGGGGATACCAGCAGAAGTGAGATCCGTAGCTCAAGTACCACCATGGCTGCGCTGTCGGGAGGAGAAATGTGCATCAAATACCTGATGTTTGCCTTCAACCTAATATTCTGGGTGAGTTTAAAGCGAGTAAATGTAGCGTTCTCATATGAAAATATGAATCCTGCTTGTATTTCCTGTGTGTGACTGTGTGTCAGTAAGAGAGAGCTTTGCGTGCATGCGCGTTGGTGTGTGAGCAGGTTACTATAGTGAATTAAATGACATGGCGTCCCAGATGCAGAACCGTTTGCTAATCACAGTAGGCTATATTCTGGGATGCCCTACGCATTATTTTTGGCGCTGGCCACCACCAAACACAAAGTGTCCCAATACGCGTGGAGACCGAGCTGGCTGGAGGAATAACCCCCAGTGGCCAAGTGACCCAGTTCTACCGCGCTGACTTAACTCTGGAGTTTGCGCGCACGGCATTTTAATAATTGCAATGGGAGGGGGGAGGGGAGGGGGGCGTTATTGTGGTGGAGAATGATATACTGATATAATAATAATTAAGACTTCTGCTCCCTCACGTGATGTGAAGAGATGTGCATGCAAACCAGCCTGTGTGTGAATGAATCCTGGATATCCCATCAGGCTATTTGTGTCCTTCTAAGCCTGCAGGGTGTGTCTGGTTGTGACTGTTTGTTTGTGATCTCTGTATGTGTGTGTGGTTTCGAATGGATGCTTTGCCCTTTTATGAACGTTTATAAAGTGTGCAGCTATAGATAGAACCAAGGATAACTATTCATTTCAGGGCAGGCAGGGATTTCCCAATGTGTGTATGTATATATGTGTGAGCGAGAGAGAAAGAGAGAGAGAGAGAGAAAGAGAAAGAGAAAGAGAAAGAGAAAATGACCCAGGCAACACAACCACAGATATTCAAAAATGCAAAAACTGACTATTTGTAAAATAATAATAATAACTACAAAATGCATTTCCTGCTGAAAATGCTTTGGAATGCTGAAAGCTGAAATGAATTGCATAAACATTGCTGAAAATAGATATCCAATTTTAAAAAAATTGCAAAAACCTTAATAATTCAAAAAGTTTAAAGATTACAAATATGAAAAGTCATATCACCCCTCTCCTGAAAGAGCTGAACATTTTGATATTAAAATGGTTTCTGTGGCTTAAAAAATTTCATCAGTGGTGATATTTGTAGTAGTAGAAGTTGTAGTAGAAGTATTATTAGTAGAAGTATTAGTAGCATTAGAATAAGTACTAGTTGTAGCAGTAGTGATATTTGTAGTAGTAGTAGAAGTATTATTAGTAGTAGAAGTATTAGTAATTAGAAGAGGTAGTAGAAGAAGTAGTATCAGTAGTCATAGTAATAGCTGTAGTATTGGTCGTAGTATTTAATATAACAGTAGTAGCAGTAGTAGTAGTACTAGTAGCAGTCGTACTAATAGCTGTAGTAGTATTACTACTTTTAGTAGCATGAATAACAGTAGTAGTAGTAGCAGTTGTAGTATAAGTAATAGTAGTAGTGGTAGTAATAGCAGTAGTGGTAGTAATAATATTGATGGTAGCAGTAATAGCAGTAGTAGTAATAGTAGCAACAGCAAAAGTTATAGTAGAAGTAGTAGTAGTAGTAGCAGTAGTAGTATTACTATATTAGCAGCAGCAGTAGTAGTTGTCGCAGTATTAGTAAGAGCATTCATTTTTTTTAACAAAAAAGCCTAATTTTGAGCTTGTTTAAATACAGTTAAACCATGGGGCTTTTATTTTGAAAGGGTGGGGCTGGGTGGGGGGAGGGGGAGGGGGAGAGGAGACATAATCATAATGTTTGACACACATAAACAGAGGTTATTAAATGACAGGCTTCATCACAAGCATTTCAGTTAGAATTCACTCTTTGGGGGTTGTATTTTGAAATGGGGTGTGTGTGTGTGGGGGGGGTCCTCTAAAAGTCTCCAAGACCTGAATGACTGTATGAGAGAGAGACACACACACAGAGAGAGAGAGACACACACACAGAGAGAGAGAGACACACACACACAGAGAGAGAGGGGGAGTGTAAGTGCGTGTGCCAGTGCCTCTCTGTGTTTATCAACATCACTAATTAGCTTAATCAGAAACACCTGTGTCCTTTCAGCCTTTTCATGGAGATTAAACAGGAAAACACCTCTCAAACAAATCCTCAAAACTCCCATAACCGTAGCTCCTATTGCTCCGATATCAATAAATGAGAGGAAGGATGAGTTGAAGAACAGATCCTGTAAAAATTGTGTCTGTAGTGTAAAAAATGTGGCTGAACTGGCGATCTAGAAATGGGGTACCGTGTTCCGTGGTAGATGTTTTTGAAGCAAAATTTAACATTGGTCTCTATGGAGCAGAAAGTTGGTTTTCCTCTCAATTACAGGCTTCTGTGCCAAATGTGTAAATCTGTGGGATTCCACAGTCATTTGTCTACGACAAGGACAAGATTAGCTACTTTTACATCCAGAAATTATGCATGAAGAGTGAAGATTGTGGACACAGTGGCAAAATACAAATGTTTTTTTCGCAAGAATCTCAAGCTGCTCTTCACTCTAGCGGTGACATCACGCACTCTAAGCTGCGCAATACACACCCATTATAAAGTCAGAAAAGGACTTAAAAATCATAAAAGTTAATTTGCTGCAGTTCAGAAAGTGTAAAAGATATAAAAATGCTGAATAATGTGGCAATAGATCAGGGTTTTCTCAACATTTTAAAGTTGAAATGGTGTCTGTAGCTGAAAATATGAGGAAGTTGAAGGATTTGGAAGTTTAAGAGGATTTGAACATTTTCTCCATTGAAATCCCATTCAAAATAAAAATTGCAAAAAGCTTAATAATTCATGAAGCATAAGAGATAGAAATATGAAAAGTCATAGCATAAATGTCATTAAAGAGCTGAACATTTTGATAGTTGAACGGTTTCTGTAGCTTAAAATATGAAGGAGCAGAAGAGGTGGGACGGAAGAAATATAATAAAAAGAAGAATAAAGATTAGGATAACAATAGTTGGAATGCTTAACAGCATTCCAACAATTAACCGCAGTGTCAGTGTAGTGCACTTCTTGTCCGCATAAATGCAGATGTTCCCCATTTGTGGAGGATTGAGCAGGAAGTGAAGATATGACACATAGCTGTGCTCATGCAGCCACAAATCACATGACACAGATATCTGATCTCAGGTCTGTCTGCACACAACAGGAATGTCCATGCAAAGTTGTATGTCAATGCATGAAGAGCAGGGTTCAAATACCTTTGCTTTTAATAAAAGCAGCTTCTGGGAGTATAGGAGTGGGAAGTAGTTATATTTCAGAGCAGTCTATTAGCTATAGTCACACATGGTTCAGACACCAGTGCAGTAAATATTCTGCTAGCTATAGTACTTAAAGGTTTTATGTCATCGTGCCTCAACAGAGCTGCTACCTCCCAGATCATAAAAACCTGTATGCCTGCACAACATGCACAAATGCAGTAGTTAAAGACACAAACTGTGCATGCATGGACATGTTACAGAAGAGAGAAAGGAGCACTGGGAATGATTCATATCACATACACAATGATCTCTCTTGACACTCCCTATATCAGGTGATAGTTTGAAGGCGTGATCATGAAAACAGTTTCTCTGTCCACCAACTTTATCAGCTGACACCATTATGCTTCACTTCCTGTCTGGGAAGAAGTTAGCTATTACCTACTCATAGTAGTGCATTGTGTAGACGGAATCAGCATGACTTTCACTGGGGGAATAAAGTGTGTGAAATATGCCATGTTTGTCTTCAACTTTTTCTTTTGGGTAGGTGTGCTTTACTTTTTTATTGTTGTGTCTTAATGTGTTGTGTGCCAGTGTGTGTGAGGGAACAAGAGAGAGAGAGAGAGAGAGAGGCGGAGAAGCTTCCTTTTGTACATTCGTCCTTTTTGTGGTTTGCTCTAATCTGTCATTTTGTTCATACAAGGGAACATAAAAAAAGATTAAACAACAGAAAGTATTCACAGTGAAAAAGCTCAAAAGAACAGTAGAATATACACAGGAATACGCACCCCTACTGAATAAAACAGACTGCCATTGTTCAGTTAGGCTCTCACTGTTAAATATTCACTGACCTGTCTATGCTGACGAGCCCTGTAAGGAAGTGTATGAACAGTACACAATATGGCACCAGTGTAAAATGCAGATGTAATAACATGCATGCAGCTATGTGTCGATGGATTCCCATGCTACTTTGTCTCAATATTAAATGCATATACTGATGAATAAGGGAATGTGTGAGAGTTTTACTCTTATGTCTCTCTTCTCTGATTGTGAGACTGGTCTTGTTTTCTAGGTAGACACATGCACACGTTCTGCAGACAGACACATTGACATGCACACATGACAGCATTTCATGCTCCCCATCAATGTGTTTTAATAACACTATAGTATCAGTAATGAAGAGTTGTTGGTGAAGAGTTAGATATGACACGAGGACTGCGGAAACCTCTTCCTGGACTGAGAACTGAAACTAAAAAAGTTTTTTAGGGTGAGACCTGGATAAGGCTTCCAGGGCAATGTCAGTGCACATTTGAAATGACAACTGGGAGCAGCTGATAGAAGAAGAGTTTTAAAATGCAGACAGCATCGAGATAATTGTTATTTGGTGTGGTGAAATCATAATCTGCTAAATGAGTTGACAACATGCATAAACATGGAGTGGGTTTACTTCCTCTCCGAACATTTATTGATCTTAATTTCTCACTGTTACACTCTCTATAATGATTAATCCTACTACTGTACATTTTAGACTGACCATGTACAGTGTGCACAATGCATTTAGTGTGGTTATAACTAACTACAGTGCTGTATGACAACATTAAAATGTGTTGTGTTTCAGCTTGCAGGCACTGCTGTCTTTGCTATAGGCCTGTGGCTAAGATTCGACCCAAAGACCAAAGGCCTGTTTGAAGGAGCAGATTCTCCATATGTGTTTTACACAGGTAAGATCCTCTTAGTCCTTGAGCTGGACACATTACCCATTATCATTTAAGCAAAGGTAAAAGCACAGTTTGGGATTATGTGAGCTCTGCTAAACACAAAATGTGCTTGCATGTATCTCTGATATTCTACATGTATGTGTAGGTGTATATATCCTGATTGGAGCTGGAGCACTGATGATGGTGGTGGGTTTTCTGGGATGTTGTGGGGCCATCCAGGAGTCCCCCTGGATGCTGGGACTGGTTTGTACCACTTTTTATTCTTCATGTAACTTTTGACTTAACTAACAGAGGATTTAACCTCTTTAGAAACCACAAGTTTCTTTCTCTCTATTTTTTAAATGTTTTCGTAGTGATCTCACTCAGCAGAACTTGGACTTGTTATCTAACTAAAGCAAGTGTGGATTGAGGACTGACCTTGGGTTCGCTAAGAAATATGAGCTACATTCAGTTTACTGAACAGTATCAAGGCCAGAGAAGAGTCTCTAGATTTCCTTACATTAGTTCCCCTCCTCCCTCCCGTCCTGTCTGGCCCTAATCTTCTTGTACTAAATCTCTCAGGAGGAGGAGCCTATGTAAATTGGTTTCAGCTACACTCAAATGACCTCACTTGTTCACACATGCGCGTAAAAGACATGAGCACACGCATGCATGGAAGCACACATTCACACAATCAGCTGAGTTTAATTCTGTCTCTCCGTTTTGCAGTTCTTTTTCTTCCTGCTTATCATATTTGCCATTGAGGTGGCGGCTGGAATCTGGGCATTTTCCAACCAAAGCAAGGTAACGTACACGTTTAAATGATGTTACATTGATCATTTTATTTGTATTCAACTTTTCAACAAAGTCACAAGCACCGTGCATATTTAAAGAAGTACATTCGAAGCAGTGCAATAACAAAAAAAACAACAACACGTAGAGACAAAATACAAAGCCACAAACTAAAATAAATCAGAAAATGAAGGGTACAGCAATGCAAAGTGAGTTATGTAAATAAAATGTTTGTTCCTGGTTTGCTGCTGTGTTGCAGGTGGTGAATGATATCACAACGTTCTACGTACAGACCTACAATAACTTCAAGAAGACAGAGGATAAGCGACTCAAAGAGACTCTGCGGGTGATTCAAACCGGGGTGAGCATCGTCTGCTTCGATATAATTCAGACTGACTCAAATCATATTCAAAAGGAATTTGGCACAAAAGGTATTTTTCAAGCAAATGTTTATTTCATGTCACCTAGCAATCATTTTCAAAACTCTCCACAACAAGTATTATCCAGAGTGTTTATGATGGCTAGAAGTTGCAGATTCAGCAAATGACCTTAAAGGACAAGTTCAGCATTTTAGGAAATAAGCTCATTCACTTTCTTCGTTAGTGTGCTTGAAGGCAATTAGCCTGTAAAGACTAGAAGGAGGGGGCAACAGCCTCCACACGTCACAAACGAGCCTACCAGCACTTCTAAAGCTCACTAATGAACATGTAGAATCTTACATGTTTCATTTGTGGACTGTTGTGTAAAAGAGAGAGGTTTAAGCTGTAACTGGTTCTTGCTGAACATTTTATGCATCCAGTATTTCTGTGCAGTGTGACAACAAAACTTTGGGGACTAAAAACTTTAAACAAAATGTTGAACTATTCCTTTTAAACACTTAGCATTAGAGATTTGTGTTTTTCCTTCCGCCGTCTTGTTTTAAAGCTATATGACTTTGTGTATGTCTACAGCTGAACTGTTGCGGGCCAGCTGGTTCTGTAGTAGAAACTGCCAAAGACACCTGTCCCCGGAGAGAGCCACTTGAGGAGCTCATTGCGAAGGTAAAACTACCCTCGATGTCTGTATAGATTGGATGCACACACAGCCAAGTACTTCCGTCAAGAGCTAAAGAAAGAACAACAATCAATACGAGAGAGCATCAAACAGATGTCAGACATGTTTTAGCCGAGAGCTGGAGATATTACCGTTTGTCAAATTCATAATGATGGTTTTATTAGTCTTCCTCTAATAATTACAGCATAATTACCTCAATTGCCTTGCAGTGTTACTATAGCAACAATGGTTTACTGGAGCCGGCATGCTCTCAAGCCGTCTGTGCCACACCACAAACCATGTTTCGGCATAGGTTCGGAGAAAGTTGAAAGGATTTGTGCTTGTGTGTTGCAGAGCTGCCCTGACGCCATTGATGAGGTGTTTGACTCCAAACTGCACGTGATAGGAGGAGTGGGCATCACCATCGGTGTTGTTATGGTAAGTGTGGTATTAACTGTAACTCATCAAATTTCAGTGTCCGCTGCCCTGGAGGATGAACGCAGTGCAGAAATAATCGAACACAAACACAATGTACGTCTCCCTCTCTTTCATAGGTGTTTGGGATGATCTTTAGCATGCTCCTGTGCTGCGCCATCAGGAAGTCTCGAGAGGTGGTGTGACACCCACCATCAAATCCCAGAGTCTGTTGTTAATGTTGCATGATGTCATTCGAGTCACATGACTCCCCACTGCCAATAGAAACCCTACTTGTTCAAGGAAAGGCTGGGTGCAGATATTTCAGATTATTACATAATCCATCAGTTATAACTGTGCTGCTGACACTTAAACCCAGCTTGTGATGTGGTTATTAGGCCCAACTATAGAATGGGTGTCAGCTGTTCTTCAGTGGCAATGTAGTGCAGACATTTGTAATTTTGTGGTCATTTGATTGAAATTAGTGTTGTGTGAACTGCTAATTATCTAAACAAAAGATCATATTATTGTATACTGATCACACTTCTATTGCTATCACTTGGGGTCACCTACCGGATGGAAGAGTCATGGATCAGGGCCATAAAAAAGGCAGCCAGTACCACTTCAGCACAATACAGCAGCAGCAGCCAATGACATTATTTTTCTTACAACATCAAAGTCAAACCACGGTGACTAGTAGCCAATTCAATGCCGAGCTGTGAACTGCGGTGACCGAGTAGCATCTTAGTTCCTTCATTGTGACATTTGTTCGCTTTTTTTACTCACCCTTTACAAAAAAAAAAAAGCCTTTCATTTTTGTCATGTTTTGTAAATGTCTTCTTTTTTATTTGTAAAAGATTCATAAAGTTAGTGGTTACATAGTACATGTGGTTTAATATGTGGTTTGTATTTTATAATGTTCTTTTTATTTTACAGAGATTGGGTTGGTTTATACCATATACACTATGTTTCACAGAGATAAATATTAATGAGAACCAAATAAACCAAAATGTACTGACTGAGTCGGCTCTGAGGGATTATATTATGGCACGCAATCACTCACGCGCACACGCACACACACACACAGTAAAAGAGACAAATGAGCTGTAATGTTTCATTAAGCCTATTCTCAAAAGGTCAGTGAGTAAAGTTCATTAACTAGAAAGAAAAATCTTCACTATTAGATTGATGCATTATCAGATTGTCTGCTCGGTATGTTAGATTTAGCTGTGTAGGATATAGGGATCATGTAAGGGTTAGGAGGGCGTAGGGGCCTTGATAAGACTGAAAACAACCTCCAGGTTATTCTCTTTGTGTGCGGTGGGAAAGAAAAACATTCTGAATACTCCCCTCAGCTTCCCCCTCTTTGATATCTGGGACCGACAAGTGTGACTCATGTAGTTTGATCAAAGCACAAATCAAGCCATGAGCTGTCTGTGTTTCTGAGTAATGCAATCACAATTAAACTGGAAAATCTGTGTTTAAAACTAGGTGCACACACTGATTACAGTAAACAGTGCACAATTATGTATGATAGTTAATCTAGCCATTTTTAGTGACTCACTATTTTACCAAAAAAAGGCGAGAATAGAGTTAAGAGTTCCTCTTCTGATTGTATCGCAAGGAAGTACACTTTGATTTGGTTGTTGATCGCTGGGTGTTGCCCTCCCAGACACCCCATCCCCACGACAGAGACAACACTGATTATAAAAAGGAGTGTGTTTATACGTGAGACCATGTCTCCATATTGTTCTGTGCGTATGCCTTTTATGTAACACAATGTGTTGGCCAGGGGAAGAGGGGAAGAGGGCAGGAAACTGAGATAAGAAAGAGAAATGTGGAGGAAAAAAAGGAACCTAATGAGAACTCAGGAGGAAAGAGGCCAACATCCACATTTACTCACTCACACTACTTCCCATTAACACAGGAGATAAAGACCAAAATATTTTGAAAACAACAGCACATTCTGTCCTATACAGAGATCAACACTAGGTTGTTTGATGTTTTGTTTTTTTCACTGTTATTGCCGAACCTAACCTTGATACAGGACAGGTTGGTACAGAAGCACCATAACATTTTATTTGCCAATAAAGTGAACCACACAACAGTGCTGCCATGAAATGTAGTTTACTATCTCAGTGGAAGTATAAACTTGCATTACAAATATATTGAAGAGACAAAAAAACACTGTGGACATACACAAAACGGCTCTAACAATATATTCAAATGATACCCGAGTAAGTGTTGAGAGAAAATATGTTCATGGATTTCATCTTGGGACATAATACAATCTCAGTCTTCTGCCTCGTCGTCAGTTCCCTCCCAGGAAGCGTTAGGAAGTCTGTGTGACTGCGTGTGTAAGGCAGTGTGTGTGTGCAGCACGGTGTCCACCCGGAGAACACTTGAGATGCAATGCAGCATGGCCAAAAGTACCTGGTATTTACAGGAGACAGATTCAAGGCCCGAGTCCGACATAAAAACTTTTGGTGACACATCAGCTTCTCTACAACAATACTTGGTTAGTTTACCTTCCTCTAGGGGACATTCACGATCACCCCCGACCCGTATGAGGATTGTGTTGTGTTCTTGTTTGTGTGCGAGGCTGAAAGGGTGCGAATGATTTTGAACAAAACTCAGGAGTCTGGTTTGAGTCAGCAGGAAACGTCGTGGACTGTGGGAGTAAATCTGTCGTGGCACGCTCAGTAGAGCATTTGCCAAGAGCTGGCAAACAGCAGGGACACCCATCATTGTGTCATCACAAATTGAGCAACTGCTGCCATGCTGTAGGAGGGCATGGCTTAGGAGAAACTCAAATGTCCCACCAGCAGCTATAACACAGCCTGGCTCCAACACACACTGCTTGAAGAGAGTTGCATTGGGGATCTGATTGTCCGTATGTAAAGATGTGCTTTTGTTTGACTGCCGGGTCCTCTCTGATGCTGTAGTTGCAGTGACACCCATGGGCTCCCAAGTTGAAAGTAGCATGCGGATAGCATCTCGAAGCGCACAAGCATACTGGTCAGTTTGCCCTTCCCCCGGGCCACAAATGACCAGACTACAGGGTTTGACCGTCACCCTTTCCTCTGAATCATGGAAAGCCACATGGACATACCTGTGGAAGAGAAGAAGAAGAAGAAAACACTTGTGTAGTCCAATATTCATTGTATCATATGTGTGATTTTGCTTATACACAGTGGATGAGAGGGAAATAAAGACATGTTTTCATACCTATGGGCTCCCAGCAGTATAGGTCTGCAAAAGGTCAGCGTAGCAACGTGCTCTGGTTCAATCATCCAGCAGTCTCTGACAGGTGTGGCCCCACTTAGCCTGGCAAAGAGGGACAGCTCGTCTTCACTGACACACTCCACAATGGACATCTCTGCCTGTGCAGCCAAAGCCAGGACAGCCGCAGACTGTTTCACTGCAGACAGGAGCACAGAGACACCCAAACTCTGCAGGTTCGCAATGACACGCTCCAGTGACCTTTCTGCCCAGGCGCTAAACTGCACAATGTTTCTCTGCTTCCCTTCGTCTCCGCACCCCAGCTCCAGCACTTCTTCTGCACGGAGCAATTTTGGCTGCAGGAACCCAGTGAAAACGACCGCTTTAACTGGCTGGTGGTCAGTCTGAGGGCAGGGTGCAGCAAAGTCCCTGTGAATGACTTGCCCCTTAATCAAACGGGAACAACTAATAGGGAAGCCTGACACAGGCGTATGCAAGGCAGCCAAGTTGTCCTTTACAAAGTGAAGTGACGAGGAAGGTATGTCATTTTCAAACTTCCAGTGAGTGAGCAGCTCACAGGTGAGGTTGCTCATTAAGTCACAGTGGGCGCGACCCAGACGTGAATGAAAGAAGGACGCCAGCAGATTTTGAACACAGTGATTGTTTGTGTGCGCCTTTAATTGTGTTGGTGTCGTAAAATCCTCCCAAGAAAGACAGCTTCCATACGGGACCACTCCTACGGCAATGAGATCATGCAGCTCCTCCAATGCAAATGCCAGCATTTTGTCAGCCAAGTGCCTGGCAGCGGCCGCCTCTGCTGCTGCCTTGGAGTTATAGGCGTGAGACACATTAGACTCCTTGCAGGCCGTTGTATGAATTATCCGTAGTAATGACGCCATCAGCAGTATGAATGTCTTGGACCCATCACCTGTTACGGTGCTGTGTTTCAAGACACACTCCACCACCATCCTAAAACGAGAAACACACAAATGCATCACAAAACAAAAGGACCCTTGACAAAGACCACGAAAGAGAGAGAGTAGTGCGTGTTACCTGGCCAGTGGATGCTCCAGTCGTAGTGCAGTGAGAATGCGAGCCCCACTGCGGCTCAACATGGCCCGACCTGTGTCTTGTGTGAACAGCACCTGTCCTCCTTCAGGGCCAAAACTGCGGCGGACGACTGACTCCAACACACACACAGTCTGCAGAACATGTTCCAGGTGAAGATGCTCCACCGGCAGCATCCCCGCACCCTGAAAGGCACACATGCTGAGGATAGGCAAGGGTTTCAACTATCAATTCCAAAAAACAAACAAATATACATTTTAGAAACAGGCAACAGACACAGTATTTTTATTCTTTTGATTTAGCGTCATAGGCAGTATTCAGATAGACGTTTTTGGCTTCTAATGAAAATCAATAGAGGGGAACATACCAGAGGTATTCAACTATTATTGGCTAGAAATGCTGCAAGTGGGCACAAAAAGATAAATAAAATCATGTATGCAGCACGATTGTACTCTACCAACATTTGACTCATGGCAGATGTCAATTTTGGGTCTTTGCTTACATCACATGTTCTCAGTTTCAAATGTTAATGAATCACTACCGTGTTAAGACAGCCTGGCTTTAAACTGCAGTTCACAGAATGAGTATTCTGTATTCAGCATTACTCATAATAAATAATTGATTACAAATAACTATTTCTACAAATATCTGTTCACAGCATAATATACATCCACTATATACAACCTAAACAGTGTTTTAATCATACTGTCATACATTATTCAGTATAGTGTATGACACATTGTATGTATACTTTATAAGTAATGCACTGCATGCATGTATGAAATGTGTGGTACAGTCTGTATAGAGACATAACATTTAACTTTAACCAACAGCCTGCTATATGCTATATGCTAGATAGCATTTTAGCATCTGCTAGTTAGCTAGAACGGATACGGTGAACTAGTAAGCGACAGCGGCTGCGCTTATTCTATTACAGACCATAAACATGACTTAAAGGCACAACTTTCTAACTGGCAGACAAACAAAAACAATCCGTTTCTTCCCCATAACTTAATGCTATAATCTGAGAGAACTCACCATCAGTCCAGCAGGAACGCTTTCTCTGTATCTTAGAGACGAGGCTTCTTCTGTGGTTTGTGACGTAGATGTAATTTAGATCAGAAATGACTGTTGCCCCCTAGCGAGTGGAGGTATGAGCTGTTTTCTATCCCTACAACCAAGATCATGTTTGTAAATTGATTTAAACAATATATAACAGTGTTCTTGGGACATATAAAGTGTACATCTTACACTGTGTGTGTACAAAAGGAATGTTTCCTTTTTTACATGCTAAATGCTTACTGCTAATGGGAGTGTTAAGTGACTTTATATACCAGTTTGGATGTTTACAAGTTGTCTGTTAACATCATATCTCCTTTCATTATCTGATAGCATGGCTTTACAGGGCTGATAATAGTGGTGCTATGTGGAGACAAATACGTAAGAAAATGTGCAGCACAACAGGCCTATCACAGCAAAAGCAGACACCTAAACAATAAAAAAAAAGACTGAATGATTGATGGCTTATTGAATTCCATTTAGCTGGTTAAGTTTAATGGCTAGTGTGCTATTGTGCATGTTGGCAAAGAGTTACACTGTCATTGGTTGCTGGGATGCTTGGATAGAACGAAGCCATCGTTAATGTTATTAGTAACACCTGTGCTTTTCCTACAATGACAAGTCAAAATGTTTTTAAAAAGGTCTTAGGTCCACTATTTACACCCTTTGTCACTAAACACATGTGCAATGGCTGTTTTCCTTCAAATGAACATCAGATTGTATTTAGTAAATTAGAAACATTTTGTTTGCAGACATCTTTAGTCGAGATTAGAGCTAATAACCACTTCAACATATATTTAATAATATTTGTAAGTGTTTCAAATTGTGTGTCTGTATATGTGACGGCTGTTTTGCCTGACTGAACTGTCTTGTTGTAATGACGTTTGTATGTCATATGCTCTCAGGCCTCCCTTGTAAAATAAATCCTATTTCTTTAATGGGACCTCCTCAAAAATAAATAAAGCTTAATTTTCTTCAAACATAAATGTGATGAGCCCAAAATGGCAAATCCTTAAGGAGTGATAGTCAAAATTGATCGAAAATGATTGTCATAAGCAAAAGAAAAACATAGTGTATATTTCAAAAGTCACAGACAGAGGTTATGTCGAGCTCCCACTCCCCTGCCCATCCCCCTACCCCCTCTATTTCCCTCCGTCCCTCCTTCTGTACAGCATCTCTGTGCATCTCTGGTACCTCAAGGTGAACGGGGCGGGGCCGGAACTTGATCTCTGTGTTGCTGCAGAAACCACATCCTTACTTTCTAAATCAGGCAACATCATCTATACATAGACAATATGAGACAGTTCTGCAGCTACTGCCAGATGTACAGATGCACACACACCAACACACACACACACACATAGCTTGTCCACTCTGAATGTGTATGTCCTCTATTGCTGAACTCTCACTATGCTAACGAGCCTTTTAAAAAGCCATGTCACTACACCAATGAATATGCATCAGTGGCCCGGCGAGGGTGACTTGTCGGGCTGGGGACAGAGGTTACAAGAGGTGGGGAGTCAGAAATAAGCACCCATGCTCCCATGAGACCTGAATTGACAGGAAAGAACACATTCACAAGGAACACATAACGCACACACACACACAGAGGGAAGCAACACCAGATGACCGAGCTGCAGTTACACCTATCCCAACCCTATCTTGCCCCACCCTTCCTCTCTCTCGCTCCAGCTTCCATACACCTGCACTCTTCTTCTTGATGCCTAAGAACTGGTGATAGAAAACTCTTCCCTACCTCACTGTTTTCCACCGCCTCTCCTGCCCTCTCTGGTCCTGTCATCTTTCATCCTCCTGTGAGTCTGGACATTGCTGCGTGGACGACTGAACACAGGTATGTCTCTGGGTCCTTTTGTTCTTTCTCTTTGTTTCATCAATGAAAAGCACTTTGATTTATTTTTCTCTCGACTGTGCTGAGTGAAAAAAGGAACTGTTCATAAACCCATGAACGCAGATAAATCATATTAATCAGGTCTGTGCAGGTCATTCTGCTGTTTACCGGATACAACTAAATCCTCATGGGTAATTTATTAGTTTGTAACTTAAATTTCAGTTATTTTCGTTTGCTTCTACTGAAAGATTCGCATCTTCTGAAGGTTGAAAAAATGTCCAATGTCAAGCTAGAAACAAAGCTCTCTGAAGTTGTTATTTTTAAGGTAAAGAGCTGCAATGTTGCAGAGGCACTATATTCCATATCCTGTAATCCTGTAATGAATTTGCAACCTTTTTAGATCAGGTGTAGAGTTTAAGCAGCATTAACAGCTGAATTAGGGGACCGTGTGGTGCGGATGAGTCAAGCATGAGAGAAAGACGCACATTTTCACAATTTAAATATATTTTTGTTTCATACGCACATACACATATAAAAGCTCTGAATTATTGATTATAATTCATTTGTTAATTACATTTTCAAAAAAGCACATCAGAATCAGAAATAATGCTTAAAATAGATAATAATAACATGATCAGTGTGAGACATGCTGTTCTTTTTGGCATCATTTAAATTTAGTTGGATGCACCTCGAATTCTTCTGTTTTCTCATGCAGCTGTTAGTGAATCAGTAGTGGCTTCTGGCTTCTGTCTTTTCAGAAAAAAAGCAGACATATTCTGATATCAGTATCTGATCACAACTGCTGACTCAACCCCAGATACTCAATACCTGTGATGTCTGCAGAATATAAAATAACAAATCAAAACATTTTTACACTTGGGAGTCGAGTCTTGGCAGTGGGACTTTTCTTTCACATACTGAGCATGACCTTGGCCCATGATTCTCACCCCTGGAAGCTCACTGTGGGACAGCAGCAGTCCACGCGTGACGCTTCCACCTTACTTCCCCTCCTCCGTCCCTGTCACCTCCATGTCAGCAGGTTTGGTAGAGACAGCTGCTTGCATAGCCTGTATTCAAGTGCCAGGGCAGCAGAAACGGGAGAAGTCATTTGATACCGATGGTCATACAGTGTCAGATTATTGCTACAAATACATCTTATCAATAGCATTTATGCTTTGGCGTGTGTGTGTTTATGTGGTCTGTTTGGATGGATCCTCAAATTAATTTTTTTGCACATTTGGAGGGGATTTACAGGTTTGCCTATATTTCTGCTTGTTCCATATATTGTACAAGTTGCTATTTTAAAGCTGAGACAAAAAAATCTGTATCTCCGTTTCTCCACCAGTTTAATTCTGGATCTATTGTCTGTATCTCCGTTTCTCCACCAGTTTAATTCTGGATCTATTGTCCCACCTCAAATAATGACTGGGAACCGTCGAGCTCCCACGGCCTCACCAGGCACCTCAGCTATCCCGACCCACTTGCCAAATGCAACAACCACTCCAGGCCAAAAACAACCTGGAGGCCACAGTCACAACAAGTTCATGAATGAACTGCACAGCATCCACAGTGAGTTAGACATCTCAGTAATCTAAAGGTCAGGTATATTATAAATGTATATAATAATGCCAGCGAGCTGTTATGGTGCAGCCGTGAAACATTGCATCTTAAAAGATATTTGTGACGAAAATATCCATCACCAAAGCCAGATGTAATTCTGGAGCTTTTTGGTGAAGCATGTGAAGCAGAAAAGCATTTACTCAAATGAGACATGATATAGATGTTGCTTAAAGTGCATGATCAGTTTCTCTTGTGTGGAAGTTATTTCCTTTCATAAGTTCAGACGTGCCAGAGTCATATATGCATACTGCTGGTGATGCTCTGTGCATTTATAACAGAGAGTCATAAAAAAACGTCATCTTGTATTTGAAAATGCCAGTTGATATCTGTGATATAAAATTCCTTTGTGTGAAGTACTTTGTATTCTATGACTTGCTTATATGCTTTATTCTATGTTAAACTTACTACTGCACTGTATGTCGGCCACAGCTCCCTTCCAAGGAAGAATCTGGAAGGGAGGACTGCGAGCATGTTTAGATTAGATTAGTCGTAAATCTAAACTGCCATGAGTGTTGTTGTTTGGAATAGATCAGTCATAGACCTTTGACGTAGGGATAGTAATCACTGAGTGTTTAGCTTAGAGGTAGTAAACCACAGATCTATAGATTAGGATCTGTAGTAAATGTTTTATTTCAGGTACTATTGTGAAATGTGTAGATTAGAAACAAACCAGATGTCTTGGAGAAACACACCTTCTCCCCCTTCTCTCTTGATGCTCTGAGCCTTTAAAAGATGTGCTCAAACGGCACACAGGTCACTCTCTACATCCCACAGACGACACAGGCACTCTGTGTGATGATTGAGTCTTCTCTGCGCAGAGAATAAATACTTAAAGGACAAACGTCTTTCCTCAATGTTTCTTGTTTCAGTATTCAGTATTATAGGACTCACTCGGTACTATTGAATAGTTTTTTTCCACCACATATCACAGTCATATATTGCTTCAATAATGCTATAGAACAAGCAGAATGCATAGGAGATGGAAAAATGATAAGACCTTACAATATATTGTAATCCAGTATTACACCACGGACAAAAATACGACTTAAAAAGAACAATATTATAGCATTGCATTGTATTTCCCAGTGTTTCTGATTATCTTCTACTCTCTGTATGTTTGATTACCTCTGTCTGTGTTTTCAGACTGTGTGAGAAAAATAGTTTTATCTTGAGGTGAAATCGTAGGGCAACATTTTGAACACCGTATTTAAGTGGCTGACTAAAACAGTATCAAGTGTGAGCATCATCATCTATGTGTGTGTTTTATGTGGATTTGCAGCACCATCATGGGCTGTTGCTGCCCTTTGCCTCGTGAGTTTGTGTGTGGTGCTGTCGTGTGCTGTGTGTGTGTGGAAGAAGTGCTTGAAAAACAAGGACAAAGAAAAGGACAAGAAAAAGGGAAAAGAGAAGAGCAACAGAGGCTTTGACACTGAAATGGATGGAGGTTACAGCGAGGTAAGCTACACGCACACACACACACACACACACACACACACACACACACACACAGTCTCCCCCTGCAGATGTATTGTCCTTGCAATGTATCACAGTCCTGACATCCGGGTCACCCAGAACTAATATAACTGTCCCTGCTTGTTAGGACTAATGGATGTTTCGCCCATTGCTCATATTGTAGTAAAGGTTGATGTCTGAGATGAGTTGTTGGTGGTCACATTTAAACACACTGATGGTGTAAAATGTGCCTGTTCCCTTTAAACAATCAATTAACTTTAGATGGTAGCTTTATCTTTGTTTGATTGCCTCTACCTGTGTAATGCTATACTGCAGGAACACAGCACAAATAGCTGCTCCACAGGCTGTGAGACAGAAGGTCTTCCTTGATTACTTGTAAAGCCATATTCTCTAACCGCATGTGATTTGTGTGCATCTTGCAGCCGCTAAAAGATGAAGGTAACAAAAAAACAGAGCCGTCAGATAATGAGCCCAAGGATGAGGAGAAGCTGGGCCGACTACATTTCACATTAGACTACAACTTCACAGATAATACGGTGAGCTGCTGTTTTTCACTATGACGTGTTCGTGCCCACAATCTGCCAACATTCTAACACTTCTCCTGTCTCAGTCGATCAGCCAGATTCTCATCTCTTGTTAATAATTTCCTTTGCCATCACATTCTAGCTGATAGTCGGCATCTTGCAGGCTGCTGAACTTCCTGCAATGGATGTGAGCGGTAGTTCTGACCCCTATGTTAAACTATATCTGCTCCCGGACAAAAAGAAAAAGTTTGAAACCAAAGTCCATAGGAAGACTCTTGAACCCAACTTCAATGAGACTTTCACATTTAAGGTAAATTGATGAATTAAAAAGTAAAGAATTTATCATGACTGATTGGGTACACTATCAGCACATGGTACATGATGTGTTTTTGACAGGTTATTGTCTTTGACGTGTGTTTTGTAGGTACCATACACTGAGCTGGGCGGGAAGACACTGGTGATGACTGTGTACGACTTTGACCGTTTCTCAAAACACGATGCCATTGGAGATGTGAAGATACTGATGAGCAGTATGGACTTCAGCCAGTCTCTGCAGGAGTGGAGGGATCTGCAGAAGGCAGAGAAGGAGGAGGTGGGAGCACACAGTGAGAGTTGAACCTGAGAAAAGGGATGCACAAAGTTGCATACAAGGAAAAAAATGTTGCTTTTAGATTTTCCAAAATTGTTATTCGGTGGTAAACACTATTTTTAAAACTGGGTCTCATTTGATTCAATGATGTATTTCTTTGTGTTTAGAGAAAAAGGTTGCTGATGCTTGATGATGTCTCTTTGGCTTGAGTAAAATCACATACTTTCTCCTTTTGATATTTACGCTGATAACTTTCGAGCCAATTCCCCAACAACATACTCAATTCTTTTCCTCTGTATTAGAGTGAGCGGCTTGGAGACATATGTTTGTCCTTGAGGTATGTGCCTTCTGCAGGGAAGCTGACTGTGGTGATTTTGGAGGCCAAAAACCTGAAGAAAATGGATGTGGGTGGATTATCCGGTGAGTCAAGCAGTAAAAAGTATTTATATTAGATTTAAGTTTAAGCTCCATGTCAGGCTATTATTGTGCTGGAGTTTTTTTTTGTACAAACAACTTCAGGGCCACAGTAAAGTAACGCTTTTAAAAAAATGATTTAGATCTCTTCAAGTTATATAAAATATAAACAATGTCTCAGTTATTTTTTCATAATAAAACTAGATGCACCCTAAATAGCCCAGATTTGTTAACCCCGGTTGAACATTAAGGCCTTAGAACTGCTTTTCAGTGGTGTGTCCAGAAGCAGTTTTTAATTCATGGGAATTGTCAGGAGCTACTACAATAGATGTTGTGTTTCACTGCTGGAGTAACTGCAACAGTGCCAGGCTGTGAGTCTCTCGCTCTGACGTAAAACCTCTCTGTTCTCTCTATCAGACCCTTATGTGAAGCTCCACTTAATGCAGAATGGGAAAAGACTCAAGAAAAAGAAAACAACGACAAAGAAGAACACTTTAAACCCTTACTACAACGAGTCTTTCAGCTTTGAAGTGGCATGTGAACAGATAGAGGTAACCCTTGTACGCGCACACACACACAAATCCAATTCATCAGAAATTTCATTAATTTTCTTTGTGTGTGTATTTTCATTCATAGAAGGTGCAGGTAGCAGTGACTGTGTTGGACTATGATAAGATTGGGAAGAATGATGCCATCGGGAAAGTGCTGCTGGGCATTAAAAGCACTGGGACTGAGCAATGCCATTGGGAAGACATGCTGGCAAACCCTCGTAGGCCAATAGCCCAATGGCATAGCCTCAAACCAGAGGATGAAATCAACGCCATCCTTTCTAACAAGAAATGAAACCGTGACCCCTGGTTTGGTGGGCCATGACATTGCAGCATTTACCTCAACTACTTCCAAATTGTGTTCCTAACTCTCCGCTAATTTCTCAAAGAACCCTTTAAGCTTCTTAGCTCCGTAAATCTAAACAATAATACCCCGTTTTACCCTTGACACTATGCAAGTCACTCTTATGGACTTTCTTCTTCCTTCAGTAACTTCCTCCTCACGCTTAGACCTAAACTGCAACAAAGAGTTGTAAACAAAGATGTATCACTAATCACTATTATGTACAGTGCTAATAAACCAGATGGGATTTTTTGAATTTGAATGTCTTTCTTCTGTGCTGTCCTGATATCAGCTACACCTGATACATAATCTAATTACATAACTGATGCCTTTTGCTTGTTAAATAATGGGTTGTTATAAATTCCCTTAACAGAAATGTATGTACTCGAGAATTTCCGTTTTATCCCATAGCAACATCTTACAATAGAAATGACAGTTATAAAAGCTAATAGAGTACACTGGTTAGGGTTGGAGTACAGCCTTGAATGAGAGAAGTGCCAAAATAAGAGTCTTGGCATCATCATTTATAGACACGTTTCTCTGCAGCATCACAACCAAAGTAGCAGAACAGACGAAGCATCACCCATCCTTTCCAATTCATTGGTAGACGGTAGGTGTGGTTGGACTTCATAACACAAAGAAAAAAGATGCAGAGCCTTGCAGTTTGAAGTGTAGATGGCAACATAACAATAATAATGAAAAACAACAACATTGGGTTCAGAGTGTGTTCTTCCTCAATATAAAAGGAATAAGAGTCAATAAATATAAGCCTCACAATAATAATACTATTGGGCTCGGCTATTTTGCATTGGACTGTGTTATATTGCGCAGATGCTGCTTTTATTGTGTCTGTACCATGGGCACTATGGTCAGCACCATACATATGCTTTGACAACAATCAGCAGCAATCCTACTTCCAAATGTGGCAATTATTTAAGTTACATATACTGAGTTAGTCAATAGTTTACCATAGCACAGCAACACATAACTGCATAGGAGCTCCAAGGCATGTGGCGAGGTGTTTTCTTTTCTTTCATTTTTGACACTAAATGTAAAAAATAATTAAAATATAACCTCCTGCCTCTCACCAACAACATAAACGTGAATTAAATACTTTGTTAATAGACAAGACTTTTGCCTCACTATTTTTGAGCAAAAACATAAAAAGGGGGCGGGAGTGCACACTGCCCCTTTCACTCAACATCATGGCTTGGTTAAACTTTAGAGAACTAGCAAGCTTTATGTTGCCTAGATCCAACGTTAGTTACCTAATATTTAGCCAGATTAGTTCCAAAATAGTTGTCGGCAAGAAGTATACAAAAACAAATAACAAGCCAGCGATATGTACCTGAACAGTGACGTAAAAGCTTCATGTCTAACGTTACGTCAGTGGCGTAACACCTAGCTTCATGTGGTCAGCCAGATATTCAACCGTAACTTTGGAGGTGAAAACCTCCGTGATGGAGCGACAGACGTCTGGGCTCGTACACAGCTCACAGAGGCGAAGATCCAAACCGGTCTGGCTGCTGAGGATGTTGGAGTGACAGAGAGCAGCGCACGTGCTCACCTGCCCACATAGGTGCTACTCGTCATCTGCTCAGGTGGGCTGGTCGCCACCAGGTGGGCTTCACGGGTACGAAGCATCGTCCCGGTGCTACCAAACATCTTAAACCCTTTCCTCCCGGGACCATTGAGATGCACCGTTAACGTTTCGACGGAACTTCCTTTCGGACTCTGAAATGAACTTAAAGTGGACAGTGAAACGATTTCTTCTTATGTCGTTTTCAATCTCCCACTTGCTGTTACTTGAGGGTGAGTCTGACAGTTTTACCTTTCTCCAAAAATGTTTATGATAGTCTTCTAATAAAGTTTGCTACACAGATATGAATGTGAACTACATTTAACAACATAGAGGGATATTAATAGGTCTATTCTTTATATTAGTAAGTCACATACACTTGTATTACAAGTTATTTGTTAATATGATTGGTGTAACCATTCTTTATTTTTATTATATATCAGTGGTCATTTGCTGTTATACATATCATAAAGCATACTGCTCTCCCTTACTGCCCTTTCATATAGTTGTTTCCTAACATGGCATCTAACTGCTAAATCATTACAAATGACACATTGGTGAATTACTAAAATGTTTCCGATAGGACTCCTCTTGATCTACATTTAACTACATTTCAAAAAAAATGTTTATAATAAAGAACGGATACATTTCAAAAAAATGTAATGTTAATTGTATAACTTTGTGTTTAGGAGCTCAGAGTCGACTTTCAGTGGCAGAAGGAAGAATACAGAGGTAAATCCTAGGAAGAAATGGAAAAAAAACATTTCCTGACATTACTAGTGTGGCCAAAATATAAGTAAAATTGTGTAATAAAAATGTATCTGTATGATATTTCCCAGGTCATTTTCACAATTATATAGCAGACAGTGATTAATGCATTTGCACTTTCTGTTTCTGTCACTAGAGTGTGTGGCCGAGATAGCGTATGAGTGTGTTTGCGAGTCCACTTGTGTGCGTGTGTGAGGGTTCAGTTAAGAATAGTGTGGAGCCCGAATTCAAGTGGTGTAAAGTGCACTTAAGTCTCCCCTCTGACTGTTTCTTCCCACTAATGTGCATGTTTGTGTGTGTGTGTGCAGAAGGGCTAATGCACTTCGGAGGAAACGGGATCTCCTCGGGGAGGAGGTTGGTACACTACACCTAAGAGAACCAGAGGAGTTCAGGGCACCCACAAGCGCACAACACCCTAACCGGCACAAAGCTGTCTTTGTAAAGAATGAGACACATAAACTTTCTCCCACTCAATCTGACGCAACTTTTAACTTACAGTTACCAACGGTACAGCACTGTGTCACTGATGCTGTTAAAAGTTAAGACTTGTTTAAGGAACTACACTAAGTGTTTTTTTTTTTTTATTGTTTTCCAAGACATACAGACCACTGCTGTCGGAGGGTACTCTGTCCCGCAGCATTTTACACAACTACACAGCCAGAGATTCCTCTTCAGGTAAATATGCTGCTTATGAAGCGACCCATTGTCAGATGCTTCACACCATCATTACCCAGATAAACTGGGGTAAATGAACTCGAGATGGTTCGTGTCTTTCCCAGAATATTGTGGCTGCCTCAATGGTGGCTGGTGTCAGGAGGGCGGTGTGTGTGACTGTGCTCAGTTCCAGGCACTGGGAGACCGCTGCCAGATCAGTGAGTAAGACACACAAACACACACAAACAACTACATATCTTCCTTTGGTGTGGGATCAGATTTGTCAGAATATCATCCACATGACAACGTTATTGTGGATTGACAAGCAACATTCCTGGTATGCAACAGACTCGTTGGTTAGCAGGCTTACACATTTTTAATATCAGCGTACAGTATACAGTTACACACTCATTTAAACAGGAATGTGTATGAGAATGTTTCTGTGTGTGTGCGCATCAGACTCACCAATCATTCAACAAAGGTTAATTACATGCACACACTCCAGTATTAATTATCAGATTTCCCCACATCGCTCTCTCTCTTTACTCCCTACAGCAGCAGGTATAAAATCACATGCAGTAAGGTAATAGGGTAAGGGCTGAGTGATGACGGTTCTGGTTTCGATATTCTGAACAGACTCCTTATACAGACTATCAGGAGATCTGAGGTCACAATTATGGTAAAGACATTTTTCTTTTCTCATGTTGGAAACAATATACAGTAGTTCCTTAAGGACCTGTAACTGAACTGAGGCTGGAAATTAAATCCTAAAATAGACTATTAACAAGAAGATAAATACTACACATATTTAGCACAGTCGAGTAAAACATAGTAGCATTAATAACAAGGTTTCTCAAAAAAATCATAAAAGCCTCATTTAAAGACAAATAGTCAAGCTTCCCACCTGGAATGCAACATTTTGAAGGTCAGGGATCAGAGCTGATGCCACAGAACACATGTTCTAAAAATGTTCAATGTGATTGGGGAATTTTGTTGATTGAATTGTATCTTGTAATTAAATTATGCAGGGAGGGTCTTAGGCATTATCTCGGCATTACCAGCTATGGGGATTTCCTGTAATAAAGGGCATTTTTTTTTTAAAGAAAATTTGGGTATTCATTTTCCACTGATAAGATTAATAAAGATGATAACTTAGTTTGACGAAAAAGGATTTGCGTCACCACATGAAACTGAATGTTTGAACGTCTGAGTGAATTGTCCATTTTCCTCTCAGTACCTAACCAGGGCCAGGATAGAGACGGGATCTGCAGGTCGTGGGGTCAGCACCACTACGAAACGTTTGATGGAATATACTTCTACTTCCCTGGAACCTGCTCTTATATTCTGGCCCAGGACTGCCACTCAGCTGCACCACAGTACACGGTGTGGGTAAGAGCACACAGATCGAAATTACCCACTGAAATATTGAACCAGAATTTAACCTGTATGTAGGTATACGGGGTGGTTTGGCTTTTTTACAATAACACCATGTTTATATTCAAACTAAAATAATAATCAAGCTAAAATTCTTCAGCTTAATTTTTTATGTTATATATACTTTAACTAACCAAAATCCTTTGACAAACAGGAGTTAGAGATAAGGGTTATATAACAGTAGGCGGCATGCTAATCAGCAGTTGTTGTCAACCCTGTAAAATATGTAATTATCATATTCCTTTGGTTAGTTTTAAATTGTCTGTGTTTGGCATACAGCATATTCCTCTTGACTTATTACATAATTTTACAGTTTAAATTTGGGAACAGAAGACGACACTAGAAGACTACACTAATATGTTGCATTTAAAAGTCATATTAAAGGGATAATTGTGTGTGTGGGGTTGTATGAGGTACGTATTCATAGTCAGTGTGTTAACTACTGTAGATGGTGTTCATCATGCCCACAGTTTGTAGGTACATGAGAGCAAAGCAATATACTGCTGTGGACAGGGCAGCAACAAACAGATATTCTCTGTTTTTGTTGCCTATAAATCCCACGAAAAGACCAAAACTATCAATAAATCTGTTCTACTACTAACAACTATTAACAACTACAAAGCCTAATATACAGTAGATCCAAAAACACATTAGTAAGCCACACTGTTGGACTGGGTGACATGTTTCTTTACTGCCATAGAAATGTGCGCTGTAGTTTATTGTTTCTTCCAGTTTGAGTAATATTTGCTGATAACTACAATGCAAAGCTTTTTGAGGACATTTTAAACAGATTAACT